TGTGAGGGCCCTGCTCTAGAGGGTGAACACACGATTAGTCCACCTTTGCCTTGGGAGGCTTCTCACTATGACATCTACTGAAACAACCTGAGATTTGCCTGATCGACAGCTAATGTATTTTTAATAGGTGTCCTGTTGTAATTATTAATACTCCTTTGGCTTTTCCCCATTATTATCAATAATGCTGAGAATTATAAATTAAAAATAAAATAAATCCTTCTACAAATAACAGACTTTTTAAAAAATAGCACTTTTAGGTTTATAGAGATTTCACATATACCTCTTCCCCGCCTGAACCGTTCCTTCTCTTATTAACATCTTTCATTCCCTTATAATTGTTAAGCCAATACTGATATATTTCGGGGCTTAAAAAAGCTCATGGAAAATATTTTCATGCAAACATTCCAACCCAGCACCATATTATATTTTTCCATGAACTTTTTAAACCCCCTTGTATTATTATTCAGCAAAGCACATATTTTATATTAGCATTCATCTAAAATTTTAAATTTAGATTTTTTAATTTGCACATATTTTTATATTAAATATATTTTTTGGCATGTGTACACGGAATATAGGATCAATGAAAACACCATCCTGGTTTATTGCTCAGCGTGTGAGGGAACCATGCATAGCAAACTAATGGTCCACTTTGAAAATTGGCAGGAGAATTTGTGTCTTACTCAAATAAGGGCATTTCTTTTTTATTTCCAATGCTAAAGGTAGTAAATTCTCTGGAGCGGATAGCAACTATGTGTTATGTTTTATTTATGCCTACTTTGTGCCACTTTTCCACTGACAATTGAAGACAGATATGTGGCAAATTCTTTTGTCTATTTTTCAAAAGTTTGTTTCCTTTTATGGTCTTCATAGAGGAATTAGGAGGACAAAACATCCAATTTGCTAGAATGTCAACTATTTAATGTTAGGAAGTCGTGTCTAAATCCTTTGATTATGTTTTTTAAATTTATTTGTGAAAAGGCTGCCAGCTCCAAATCCTTCCCTTTCAGAGTTTATGAATTCTTAAAGACTGTTCATCGTGTAATTAAAAACTGTATTTGAGCAAGAAACGGTGTGAGTGGCACCAGTGGATTATAAAAAGGGGGAAAAGTGTCTCAGCAGAGCTTTTAGCTGTTTGTCTGAAATACACTTATGCAAACATTCCCACCCACAACCATCATTAAGCATGGTAAATAAGCTCTAGCCTAATAGCCTGTTGAGTTAAACAGTTTAAAGCAATGACTTTCTGGTGCACTCTTTCCCTCCCCCCCGCAGTTGATTCGATGCCATCAGTCCCGTGGTGGAGCGTGTGGAGACAACATTCAGTCTTATACTGCCACAGTCATTAGTGCTGCTAAAGTGAGTACCTCGGTAGTCTCGGAAGAAATGATTATGTGGGGTGCTTATCAGGGGACTCTCCCAAGTTGTATTGAGATTGTCCTGTCCGTTTTCAGTCACAAAGGTGGAAAAGAAGTCAGTCGGAGTTATTTTGCTAATCATGAGTACTGGTATGAAATGATTTGAGTGTCTCTGAGATTCAGAAGTACTACTTTATTGTAATGATTATGAGGCTTATACTTACCTTACTTTAACATTTTAAGTCATTAGCTAGATTAAAGGCCATAATCGAAATGAAGGGCATCAGTGAGATTGGGTGTCACAGCGGGCTCCAGCGTAGCGGTAATTGTGCGTATGGTACAGGACCAGGTAGTTTCATTCCCTAGTCCATGCAGTTGCTATGGGCCAGAGTGGAATCAACAGGACCTAACAACGTCTGATTAATGCCACTTTAAAAAGAAGCTTCAAAGTGTTTTAAGAAGGACTTCTAGATTCTTTGGTGAATTGTACCATTCGACTTATATTGGCATCCCTTTGCATTTTTGGGTAAATTTGGGGGCTTTTGGACATAACAATGAGTATCGATTCTTAAGAAAGCTGAAACAAATCCCTGGCACATTCAAAGATTCTTTCATATCAAGCCCCTTCTCTCCCCCACCCCTCCCCTGCATGTTTGTCCGGTTAGTTCTTTTCTTGTGTGGGGTTTAATTTTGATTTTGGCTAGTAAACTTTATGCTGATTATAAGGTATTCTCATAACCACTATGCTTTTGAATTGTGAAGTATACAACAAAACGATTCTAATAATAGGGATGACAGTGAATCTGAATGACAGCATGTAATGGAAAGCACAACTATACAGAAAAGAACAACAGTTTAAAGCAAACCACAGGGAGGGAATCAAAGGTCACACCATTTTATGTAAAACAAACAAAAATACTTCAAGATTGATCAAAAATGCTTACACAATCTGCTTTAGAATGTGTTCCTTGTTTTTTATGGGAAAAGGACTGCATTTTTTTTCCTTTTCAAAAGAAAAATACTGAGCAAGTCTTTATAGTTACACAGTCGTACATTTTAGATTTTTGACTAACTTATAAATGTTCATCAGTTTTTCATATTGTATATGCAATAGTTATGCTGGTTACTTCAAAGGAAAAAATCTAAGGCAGAATAATAAATAAACATTTTAAGTATTTAATAATTTTGTGATTTTGATTCATAAAATATGTTAATAACATTTGGGTCTCATCTCTTTTATACTGTCTACATCACACAATTTGATCAGAACGGCTCATTGTATTATCATTTTGCGATATTATCTGTTATGAGATGAATGACATGCTCCTGTACTTTAAATATTATGAACCATGAGGCATGTAAGGATGACTTCCATTTTTAGATTTGAACATGAGAATAGAGACAACACCATAATGCAGTCCATTTATCCCAGACCATTGCTTACCAACAGGTGGATGAGAATTCCCTGGTGATATATAAAAATTTCCCAACTCTGAATAATGCTTGTAATATTTGTTTTTGTTCTGTTGACAGATTGCAATCTTTATTTGTGCTCACAGTTATAAGTTAAGAAATGAAAGAAAAACATAGCTATGAACAGTAGAAAAAAGATCACCTGTTTCTCAGCAGTGTTTTTGCTAGTCTGTGTGTCTGTGCAGAGTGAACCCGCTGAAAGACAGCGCTTGATGAAACAGCCTTAATTTACTGAGTCTCGTAGCTCTTTCTGTCTATATATCTAGGTTGTTAAGGCAGAGGCAACGAATATTTTGAAACTTCTTTTAAAATAGTGCCAAAATACCTACCAAAAATAAAGCAATTCTTCATTTTACTTCCAAGTGTGGGTATTCCAATATGAAAAACATTGGAATATTGAGATTTCCCCCCCAACCCTCCCCTTCAATGGCAGTTTCTCCATAGAGAAGTGTATTAAACATTATTTACTTTAGTTTATATTAACCCTCTGAAGTACTTACCATATATACTTGTGTATAAGCCGAGTTTTTCAGTCCATTTTAAATGCAGTTTTTGTGGTAAAATTAGGTGCCTCTGCTGATATTCTGGTTGGCTTATACTCAAGTATATACAGTAACGTTTCCAGTTGTACATAATAACTAAATCAAAGTAACTTTTCTTTTTATGAATTTGATTTCTCTTTATTTTTTTAATTAAATTAATTTTTTAAAAGACCATTTTATTGGGGGCTCTTACAACAATCCATACATCAAATGTACCAAGCATATTTGTACATATGTTGCCATCATTATTATTTTTTAATCGTTTTCAAGTTAAGTAAAATTCCATGTATATTCTTTTTGTTATTATTGCATTATCAATTATATCTTACAACTTATTATACAAGCCTTTATTTAGTCGTATATCTCATGTCTGTCCTCCCCCCCTTTCCTTTATTTCTTAAATGTATGTTGCCAGAAACAAAATGAAGGAGAAAAATTACACAATTATCTCAATTGTTACACATGAAACATTTGATAAAATACAAGTTGTGTTCATTGGTAGAATTTTTTAGTTGGTAGTGATAGTTTCCAGTCCTGTGCAATTCTAATTTTCTCAAATTATCAAACATATTAAGTATGATCATGTCAAAGTCTATTTCCAATAATGCCATTGTCTGGGCTCCCTGTGGGCTTCTTTTTGTTGGATGTTGTTTCTGTTGGATTTCTGTTGGACTAATGAATTGACTGCTTGTTTACCTGGTAATGTTTGATTGTTTATAGAACATTTTTGTTGTTAAGTACTGTCAAGTTGATCTCGACTGATAGTAACCTTATCTGATAAGAGTGGAATTGCCCCATCAGGCTTTCTAGGCTGCATAGTGGTTATGTGTTGGGCTGATATCTGCAAGGTGAGTCACCAGGCGCTCCAGGGGGAAAAACAGTGGGTGTTCTACTTCTGTAAAGAGTTAGTCTGGGAAACTCACAGGGTTGGGTAGTTCTACCCTGTCCTATAGAGTGGCTATAAGCAGTGAATAATCTTTATGGGAGCAGATCCCCAGGGTGGGTTCAACCTGCCACACTTTTCCTTAACAGCCAAGTGCTTAACCAACCAGGGCTCTTTACTTAGGACATTCTTTTTCTTTCTTTTATTTTTATCTACCAGATGTATGTGACCCTTGAGCATGGAATTAACTTAATCCAGTCTTAGGAATCAAGGTTATATAAATGAAGCTTGACTTGCAATGGGAACAAAGTCTTGATTACTGCAAATTTACATTTCTTTCTAATGTATGTCACTTTATGTCCCAGCCCAATGCACTGAGGTAAGGTCACCAGGTAGATCATCTTGGCATGCCTTTGACTTCAGTCTATAGTTTTCTAGTACTTCAAACCTGGCAAAAGTACTACTTGATATTTTAGTTTGCAATTGCAAAACCAGCAAATGCATTTAGACCCAAATGCCAAGCTATCCTCTCTGTATTCTTTTATTTCCTGGGATTTTGACACACACCAGAAAGCAATCCCACTGCTAAGGAGTCATTCCGATTCAGTGAAATGATGCAGGGTTTATGAGATTGTAAATATTTACAGGGGCAGGCAACCTTAAACTATTGAGTCTGAACTACCTTGTGGTTTGCATCCTAATACCTAACCCACAATGCCACTAGGGCTTCTGACTCATAGTGACCCCTTGTGGGTTTCCGAGACTGTAACTGTTTGTGGGAGAAGAAAGCCCATTCTTTACTCCATGGAGGTGCTGGTGGCTTCGAGCTGCCAACCATGTGGATTGCAGCCCAACAAGCAACCACTACTCTACCAGGCCTCTTAGATCCTGTTAAATAGTCAGTATTGTCTAGCAGGGTTTTTCCCTCCCCCCAGGAGTCAACCCAAACCAAACAACAAAAGCTTTTCTAATGGTCTGTATGTAGTCTGTTAGTAGGGGGGTCCCTGGTAGCGCAGTGGTGAGTTGGGTGATGGAAACCGATTGACTGCTGTATCAGAAAGATGTTACTCTCAGCGTCAATACAAATTTAATCTCTTCAAAATCCTAATGATCAGTTCTGTACTGTTCTACAGGGTTGCTATGAGTTGGAATTAACTCATTAGAATATGTATTAGAAAATAATTTATGATCATTTCTATAATTTCTATGTAATAAGTTACTTGTGAAACCTAACATGGACAGTATTTTAAAAATAATGTAGTATGTTCTGCTTAAAAAAATCCTTAATTTAAAATAATTTCATTATTAAATGTTAAGTGTCAGTACTTGGAACCCTTCAGAGGGACTAATCTTTTTATATTTTCTGAATGTCCAAATGTCCAAGGATTATTTCAAATGAACCTTCCTCGATGTTTTTATGTTTTCTTTTCTATTAACAAATAGATTTATATATATGATATAAAAATTTAAAATTATATGCCTTATAATGAATAAAAAGGTGAAGAATTAAGGAAAAATTAAAATATTCAAAATGTTTGATTTTTCAAATTGAAACTATATAATCATGGTGTAGGTTTCTAAGTCACCTCACTGCAGTTTTATTTAATTCCTTCTTTAATGTATTTTAAAGTGTGATAAATTGATTGAATAAAAGTGCCTTTGTTTTCTCCTGTTATTTGATAAATTCATAATGACAACTAACAGCTTTTGTGAGATTAGCAACATTAGCACTAATGGATAGAGAGGACAACTTCTGTGACTTGGAAAAGGTTAAAGATGCCTGGTGGCACTTTAGCAAATCTGCCTACAACAGAATAGAATAAGTTCCTTGCTAATTTGAGTAAATCCTAATGGATTATCTCACACCTTTGTCTTTAGTTTAATGTTTATCCCTCTTATAACCATAGTTTAGTTGTATGATAGGAGATATCATTTTGATATCTTTAAATAAATCAGATTGTGAGAACACAGGCTAATTATCTCCTGGATGGCCAAATTAGATATTTATATTTTGATTTTTGCTTAGTCTTCATAATTTTTCTTATAAGTCTTTAGTGCACACATTCACCAGTAAAAACACAAAGACAAATTACTTTGAGGTGAATATGACGTATGAAAACGGTTAGCTGACACCCTTATAGAGCCACTCCTCACTTGTTGATCTGGTTAGTTTGCAAAGGTAAGTTTGTTACGTGGAGGATGACCACATCAGATCACAGAATGGAGGATGACTACATTATCACATAACTGTTTAGTTTCATTATTATGTAAGCACCAAACCATTGAGAATCAGGGCCCAGCCAAGTTGACACATAATCTTACTCATCACAGGCAGCATTGTAACTCTCAGCCTCACTGTTACTGTTTGTTACTGACAGACATTGCACCATTTACGTGCAAAGTAGTTGGATAGTAGTTTTTCACCATTGTCATAAATGTGACATGTTAGATGAAGTGATACAGAAATACTTCTGAACATGACTGCCTATGTATTTGTTTGGTTTTAACATTGAAACAAGTTCTTCCTAGAGGCAAAGCTTCCAACACTTTACCCTCTCGTCCCATAAAAGAGACGAAGCCGGCACCATCTGTGAGTGTTCTTGGAAGCACAAACTCACTGCCATCGAGGTGATGCTGACTCACAGTGACCCCTATCTGGACAGGGTAGAACTACCCCTGTGAGTTTGAGACTAATTGTTGATGGGAGTAGAAACCCCTGTCTTTTTTTCCCCAGATTGGCTGGTGGTTTTGAACTGTCAACCTTGTGGATCACAGCCCAACTGTGTAACCATTATGCCTCCAGGGCTTCCTCTCTCCTCTCACATTAGACTGTAATTTGAACATTAATGAGCTATCACCAAGGAACAATACTGTGTTGCCATTTACTGCAACATGTGTAGATTTGTCAGAATTAAAAAAAAATATTTTATTTATTTATTTTTTAATCGTTTTATTGGACATCATGCTTTTTAAAAAAAATAATTTTATTAAGGGCTCATACAACTCTTGTCACAATCCATACATACATCAAATGTGTAAAGCACATTTGTACATTCATTGCCCTCATCATTCTCAAAACATTTGCTCTCCAGTTAAGCCCCTGGTATCAGGTCCTCATTTTTCCCCCCACTCCCCACTCCCTCATGAACCCTTGATAATTTATAAATTATTATTTTGTCATATCTTGCCCTGTCCGACATCTCTCTTCACCCACTTTTCTGTTGTCCGTCCCCCAGGGAAGAGGTCACATGTAGATCCATGTAATCGGTTCCCCCTTTCCAACTCACTCTCCCTCTATGCTCCCAGTATCGCCACTCACACCACTGGTCCTGAAGGGATCATCCGCCCTGGGTCCCTGTATTTCCAGATTTGTCAGAATTTTTATTTGCTACATTATTTCTTTTTAAGAAATGTCAAGAACTCTGTAAATGAACCTTTGCTTATGAAATACACTGCTTTGTCCCCACTTCCCTTTTGGTGGAGATATTCCCTAGTTTTTTTATATTCACTTTTCCCATTACCTTAGTTCGCTTTTGTGCATTACCTTTGGTCTTCTGTGCGCTCTAGTTCTTTTAGGTTTATTCCTATTCACTGGTGTAAGAGCTTGAAATAATAGGCTCAGGGGCAAATGGGGAGGGATACACAACCGAAGAGTAGAACTAAAAAGCATTCCTTTGATAAAGGGACAGCTCCGTTGAAGTGGGAGCATCACCATTAGCTTTAATGGATATGCACATCAGCTGAGGCATCTCAGAGGTTAATCAGGCTTCCTGGGCAGCTCTTGACATCAATACACGGTGGCGCCTGATTCTGGTGGTCCTTCAGAGACTTTCCTGACAGCACCTAACAGACTTTGTGTAAGTCATTTCTTGTGAATTATTGAAACAAACGCTTGGCTGTTAATTGATGAACGCTAATGTGTTTTATAATCACTGCAGTTTTGAGTTTTTAGCACTAAACAGAACAGTTACAATTGATCTGTGGCTTTAGCTTGGTTTCAAGCTGCTATATGTGATCTTTTTGCTTCAATTCAGCAGGTGCCATGCTGGTCATTTTATTTAAGTCCTAATAGGCTACATCATTTTGGTTTTCTACCCCTTCATGTCCCCCAAGCCGACATCTAAAAATAAGGAGTAGTAGGCATTCAGTTTTCAATTAATTGGCCTTCCAATAGATCTGAGTGATGCTGTCCAACCCAAATTACTTTGGATAGAAGGGCTGAACTATGCTCTTTATTCATAAGCTGTGAAATCATGAGTAATAACAGGAGTAGATACAAGGCGTTAAGTTCCAATTATACATTGTTATATGATTTCATTTCAGCTCATTGTAGCTTAAATAAAAATTGGACCTTAAACATATAAACACCTGAAATATTGCATATGTAGTAATTTATACTTTAAAATTTAACTATCCTATATGCAGAATATGCAAGAGGCTGGTTCTGCCTATTATTAGTGAAGTGTAGTATGAAATTTATTATTTAGGTGTAATATAAGACTTACCTTATTTTCTAAGCTCTTAGAGTTTATTATATTAAGACCACAATCCATGCTTTATTTTGTAGATTACCCACTTTAAAGTGAAGATAACCCCCGCGTGCGCACGCTGGGGTATGAACTGATAAAATTTGTGTTGTATGCAGCTTTTAAGACTTCCATAAATGATTTTTGAAGTTCAATAAATGATTTATTTGGGGGATAAGGATTTAAAAAAAACTCTTAATTGTGCATAGGGATTCTCACTTAGATTTAGAATTAGTTTCCTATGACAATGTCATACATAAAATTTTAAAAGTATTATAACATGAATAATTTGAAGACTGCATGTTACAGGATGGGGCCTCCAATATGGTTCCAATGATAATAAACAGTAATATTAAAGATTAATTTCAAGCATTTTAAGAAAAAAATTCACAATATGAGAATTGGTGGAGGGGGTGTGTGGGATAACTTATTTTTGAGTACTTATAGATGATACAATATACGATTTTTTTTCCCAATGTAACCATGTAATCTAAGCTGCATTTTTGGGGGGTTATGATAAGATTATTTAACATGTATGAATTACATAATTTTCTCTTTCAACTTGCTTTCCTTTCAGATGGAAAAAAATCATTCAACAGTGTATCTTTATTAAAGCATGTAAAAATAGATTTTCATCATGGAAAAATGTCTTAAATTGTCTTAAAATATCTATGAATTTGGTGCTACAAGATAGGAAAGAAACTGCTTTGAAAGTTTAGAGGATGTTTTGTTTAGTAATCATACTGTTTTGTACTGAGTTCTGAAATAATCTGAAAATAATACTGACTTTCTAACATTCATGATGTAGTAAAAGTCAGACTGAATTTCTTTTTCTTTTTTTGCGTACAGACTGGGTTCCTATGACATTCCCCTTAAAACACTATCACACGGATATAAAAGCATAACAGATTTCTTAATTTAATCAATGTAAGAAATAATAGATTGCATATTTCTATTTACAAGTCAAATGTTGATATAAGGTCATCTATTTTGCCTTTCATTGTATAGACACTGAAAACAGGCTTGACAATGGTTGGGAAAGTGGTAACCCAGCTGACAGGCACGCTGCCTTCAGGTGTGACAGAAGACGATATTGCCGTCCACAGTAACTCACGACGGAGCCCGTTGGTCCCAGGCGTAATCACAGTTATTGACACCGACACAGTTGGAGAGGGCCAGGTAAGATGAGCTTCCTGGGCATGCACTTTGTGTTTCAAGTAGAGATTGGATTAACTAAGAATATCATTTGGGATCAAGATTAGCAAATAGGTATATTTGATCTAGGAGATCATTAATTTGATATTCTAGAAACCAACAATCTTTCATTTTAGAATTAGTTTCAATAAATACTAACACATTAAAACCTGTTATTTCAAACATATAAATAGCAAACCTAAAGATGAAGTTGAAGTTCTCAGAGATTCTTTTAAGTAATTTTTTGGGTACATTTAGAAATAATTATATTTTTATATGACCCTTTTCATAAATCTGCTTTTTAAAAACTAACGCTGTGTCTTACAACCTCTAAATCATAAGAGTGAACCACATGACCTTACATATTTTGGAGGAAAATGAGTATGATCATGAAAAATAGATTGTGATTGCATTTAAATCTGGTTAAAAAAACCCAAAAACCCAAATATAATTTAATTTTTTTTTACCCCTTTACACACATGGATCTTATTATATGTATCATAGTCTTGATTTTAAAAGTACATTTATGAAGAGATGATTTAAAAAACAATTCTAATAGTTTGGTAGTTTTAAAAATCTAATCAAAACTTCACTTATGCAGTATATAAGCAGAGCTATCTTTTTGAAATTAAAATTATTTTAGGTTTATATACAGTACTGTACAACATTTAATTCTATGTTCAAATCATAGTGCTTAGAAACTAGATGAGCAATGAACTATTAATTCTAAATATTGAAATTTTGGAGAAAATTTGCATCAAATTTGTATATGTCAACATCTTAATTAAAGATAACTAAATTTGGAATTGTCTCATGCGGTGGTTCCCATAGTAAGATCACTTGACCCTTCAAGAAAATGCTTAATATATTGCAATGAAAAGGGAGTAACATTGAAATTTGGGTTACTGAGATTGACTGTCATGTTTTACTTAAGTTCCAAATAACAAATCCAACTCTATCTTTACTTTGTGGTTCACTAAATCTGTTACAAGTTTGTATTGCTGAAAACTCTTTTTAATGAAGTACTCAGTTCATTGTAATGGTGATTTCTTTTTAACTTAATTAGGTGAAGTGGATAGACACATACAGATGTTCTCTTTTTAAATTAGAATTACATAAATAAACCCTTAATGTGTTATGAGTCTTAAACTCCAAAAATATTTTCCTTTGACCTTTGATTCTTAATTCTTAATTAATTCACCTACAAGGCCACCCACATTTACTGTGAAGTAATAAACCTTATCAACATTGTTTAGTTTGGCAACTGTAAGTTTGTTAACTATATAGCATTTGTTGTCAGAAATTTGTGATTAGAACAGAAAATATTATATCTTAATTTTTTGTAGCATCAAGAGCTGAAACTCATATTAATTTATTTCAATATATTTCAGTAGAGGAACATGTGAGAAGAAAAAATAAAAATAATTAAAAGCCTAACGAAAGCATTTGCTTTGAAATGTGAATTTTTTTCCCAATCCTGTTCCTCATTAACTTATTGTAACTTTAAAACAGAACTTTCAGTAGGTGAGTTAAGGAAATGGAAATATGCAAATGGATACCATTGTGGAATTGAAACACTTTGTTTCTCTATTTTCGGAACACTTAAAATATTTGAAAGATGGATTAGGAATGAGAAATCTTTGAAATGTTGTTGTTTTTTAAGTTCTCATCTCATGCTCAACATAAAAGAAATGATATTTTCTGCTTTTGGTTAGGAAGTATAATCTATCCTTATCTGTATTGTGTATTCGGAAATTTTAATTTTGGAAAAATCTATAAAATAGGAAATAGACTCATTTTCAATAAGAGGTAAGTTGCCATGTTCATTTTAAAGCACCAATATTCCCTAGGAGTATGATACTGCCCATCTTTCTTCTATTAAGGTGAGTCTGTTTTGTGTCAAGAAGACATTTTTTTTCCCTGATTAATAGTTCGGTTGGAGTATGACGTGGGTTTTAAGATTGCAGTGTTTAATGTCATAGATTTATCACTTTTAGCTCTTTTCACTGATGTTTGACCTTAGCTGTAATGTTTTTTTCTTTTCCCCATATATCTCAGGTCATAAAGCTGATGTTACATTGACTTTTGCTGTTTAAATCCAGTGAGCCTTTAATAAAGATATTTTCGTGTTTACAATGGTGGTATATAAAATTTGACTCCTCATCTTTCTTGTGTTAAATTGATTAGTTTGATTTTATGATGACAGGATCATTGTTTAGTAAATGCATTAACGTAGAATGGATTTGATTGACTTTGTCCATTTTTATCTGTGTTACTTTCATGTTTTATTTAAAAGCATTTCTTGACGAGGGTAAGTTGCGTGGAGTGGCATAAATTACCTCTACAGGTTTATATAATTGAAGTCAGAATTGGTAGAGACTACTAGTTAGCAAGGTGGAGACATCTGTAATTAAAGGAAAAGCTTTCAGAATGATGATACAGACTTGAGCTATTTCTTGCCCTAAAAGTCAGTGTTAGTCATAATAATTTAATGATTATTGTCTATTTTCTTGTTCAGACAATAGAACCCTGTTTATCTTTTGTCAATTAAACTGCTTTCATAGTTTAAATAATCAAGTTGTTAATACACCGTTAGGAGTTCAGCCTGCCCAGGTAAGTGTTAAGTAAAGATTATGTCTCAGGGAAATTGTATTTGGGTATTTCTAGCACCCAGTGTTTTGATCTTTTAGGCCAGGTGACGACAGTGCAGCGGAAAATGCTCCATCTAAAGGGACCGCTTCTATAAGGAGAGATGAGAAGGAAAGGAAAGGGAATTTTGTAAAATCAAGTAGAACAAAGGATGTAAAAGACAAGAATAAATATCTCCCAGAAAAAGAATGGGGTGGGGGGTAGGAAGAGGAAGGGAACATGTGCAAATGGTCCCTCTCTGGGTCTCCACTCATTGTAAAAGAAATGAATGTGAAACTACCCAGGTAACATTTATTACTTATCAGAATGGGAGAAATAAAAAAAGTTTGCAATATAATTATAGGCTTCTAGGTTGCAAATAAATCCATATGCCCTTCAGTCAGCTTTCCTCTCATGGCGGCATCTTACAGACCTGAAATACAATATCAAACAAACACTGTTTTTATTGTTAAAAATTATAAGCTGCACCAAATTCCATATCTAGTAAAATAGTGATTCACATGGAAACAAAATAAATCCGAGGAAAGTAAAAAAATTATTATGTCAATTTGTTATTAGCAGATTTACTCCTACATAGTGCTTAATGGAAGTTCTCCAAGGAAATGATTTCCAGAAGAAAAGCGTTGTTGTCGCTACTATCGTGTCAGGTTCTGTTGGGTCTGTTCCTGTGCGTGTGAACTCAAGCGCAGCAGTCTTGAGCCAGCTTCACCATTGGTATAGTTGAGCCCATTCTTGGAGCCGCTGTGTCCATTGATCCAAGACAGCTTGCTGTTTGAGAAAGGAAAGAAGAAAAATGTATTGGACAAAAATAGGATTATAGAATAAGTTATAATTTCTTTCATAAATTTTATAGATTATATGTAAGAAGTGAAAAATGATAACCATCATGTGATATAGGGTTCAGTGTAAATGGAAGAAATATTCATATCTTTAAAGGTGAGAATTTGAACTGAACTATCATGAAAAGACAATTCACAGAATGAGGAAATCTTTGCGACATAAATATCCGATTAGGAGCGGTGTCCAGACTATAGAAAGAATTCTTGCTGTCAGTTCCGAATCATTGGGACCCCGTTTACAAGAGAATGAAATGCGGTGGGTCCTGCAGAACCTTCCTAAGCGGTTGGCAGACTTCAGTCCATCGTTGTAGCTGCTGTGCCTTGGAAAAGGCCTTTCTTATGAGTCAGCTGCTTCTCATTGTCGATAATTCCCAGAGCAAATAGAAGATGTTTGACCATATGTGCTGGTAGTAGTAAACTTAATTCTGGTTAAGAAATTGATAAGTGGAAAGACAAAAGCTCATATCTAATACTTAATTATGTGAATCTAGTCAGACGTTAGGAGACAATTCCTTTTTTTTTCCCACGAGAATGAACACAGTCACACTATTTCAGGAATATCATTCCTCTTAATCCTTTTCCTCACAGTAAATCTGAAAATAACTATGTGACTGGAAGAGAGTTGTCTCACCAGCAGACGTGTCTGTTAGGTCTTCCTTACTGACAGTTGAATGACTTGATAGAGCTGAGGCAGAGAGCTGCACAGTCAGTCGGACTTTAAGGTACCAGGTAAACAAAGGCACAGCTTCCACTGCATGACAGCAGCCTACATTGTGGTAGCTACAGGAGCAAAGATAAGCAAAAGTTAAAGTTGTCAGACACAGAGGCCTACTGTGGGAGCTTTGTGCGACATATCCCCAGAGAGATAGAAGTCCCTGTCTCATGTACAAGGGTGTCCCTGAGTGGTACAGTGACTGACCACAAGGTTGGCAACTTGACTCCATCCAGAGGCACAACTTGTAAGGTCTGATGATGTGGTTATAAAAAGTCCCAGCTGTTGTCGACTTTAGGGACTGTAGTTCCACTCTGCCGTGAGCTTCCAACGTATGCTAACTGGCACTAGTAATCCTTTTGACAGCTGGTTTATGAGGATTAGGTTTTAAAAGTCTAATGTAACCTGAAAGAAGCAGAAGATTAAAAAAGTTCTAAGAAAATGTCATCAATTTTCTATTCCGTTTTCCCATAAACTTTAAAAATCTCGCTCACAGTTCTGAGTGTGTCTTTTATAAGCAATTGTGATAAGATACATATGATAAAACATTGATCGTTCCATCCAGTTTTACATGTACAATTCAGTGATGTCAATTATGTTCACCATGCTGTACAAGCTGTCCTGTCTTTGTCACCTGACCTATTTTGTGTCATTGTGCTTTTTAATATGGAGTTTAGGCTTTGAAACCCTCTGGGCGCTTCTACCCGATAGGGTCAAAAATGATTTGGAATTGACAACAGCAGGAGGATTGGCTCTGGATGATGTTTTACAGATTGCCTTTTGAAAAATCAAACTAAGGATTGCCTTGAGGCTTTATTTAGATAGTACTTTTTTAGTGATTCCTTTCTCTCCTGTAAACTTGTAAGTTATTTCTTATTGTTTAATTAGTGGTTACTCTGGAGTTGCCACCTCCATTATGATTGTTACTAGCCACATCTAGTTATTAAGATTAAAGTACAATAAAATTAAAGTTTTAGTTTGTCACAGTAGTCACATTTCATGTGCTTAATTGCCACGTGTTTCTATGGCTACTGTGTTGTACAGCACATTTATAGACTATTTCTACAATCACAGAACGTTCTGTTGGACAGTGCTTTGCTATATACAAAGTAAATGCAGTTTCCCTCTAGCATTTTGCTATCATGAATAAAGCTTTTCTCAGATAGTGCAGGTTTACAAACATTTTGACCTAATTTATCTCCTTCTCCTCTTAAGTAATATTGTAGGTTTTTTACCTTCTGTTTTCTCCTTCTACATATCTTTCAACTACTTTATTAAATGGTGTTGATACTCATGTAGATTCCCCCCGCCCCTTCATTTATTCTTTGCTTAACTGAACCTTAATCTTGGAATATTTTTTTCTTCCAAGAATGATTTTCTTTAATGTAGATATACTAATTTTGGATTGGCTGTTTTATCATGCAATCCTTGCATCAGCATTAGTGAAAGATAGTTTTGCCTAGTCTGGAGTTGACAATTTTTTGCAAATATATTATACTGTATTTGATTGACAAGACATTGATTCTGTTTTCTGTTGTAATTTCACCTCTATTGTTTCTTTTTTGAAGGGGTCTTCTCCAATTCGGCTTTTACTTTGCGGTTTTACTGCTAGCCCAAGTATGGTTTTCTTGCAGGGATTTCTGAGTTTGATGGCTCTATTGAGGCCTATCTTGGATCAGTTTTCATTGTTGTGTGGGTCCTTTTCTGTGTCTTCCTCCATGTGTTTCTTCTGTGTGTCTTCAGCTCTCTCTTGTCTTTCCTCACCGATTCACTTTGTGAATTTTCACTCTGTTTTTCTCCCCGGAGATTGACTTTGCCCTACATCTAGTTTTCTAAGTCTGTATTTAGCTGTATCTTAAGTTTTTTCAGTTATTATGCGTTCAGATTTATAATTTCAACTTGGGTTCTTCACAAATTTTTTTGCTGATTTTTTTTTTGTGTGTGTCTGTCTTGCTTAAGATGTCTAGGTGAATGAATTTACTTTAGCAAGAAAAAATGTAAGGGAGGTGAACAAGTCACAATTGTCAAAATGATACAATTTCAAATTTTCATAATTAAAAAACTATAAATATACATACCAATCTTGTATAGTTGATGATTTTTAAGAATCATTATTTTTTAGATGTAATAATGAAATTGTGGCTTTATTTGAGTGTGTTTTAAAAAAAATTTTGGGTAGTGATATTGTGAAATAGTTGGGTGTATTCTTCAAGCTCATTTATCTGTCAGAATATGTTTAACTTCCATTTGCCTTCATTTCTTTTGCAAAGGTGCTTGTGAGCGAAGATTCGGATAGTGATGGTATTGTGGCCCACTTTCCTGCTCATGAGAAACCAGTGTGCTGTATGGCTTTTAATGCAAGCGGTAAGTCTTTTTTTTTACCATTTATTTTTTTATAACTATTATATTTTCTTAGAAAACTACCAGCCAGCCTTCTGTAATATTTTCAAGTATTCAGTTTATATTTTAAAGTTTTTCAATTGTCCACAAAATATGTTTTATGACTGCTTCAAGTCATATTCTAATTAAGGTTCACATTTTTTATTTTGGTCTCTTTAGATTCTTTTATCAAACAAAGTGTTAAGGTCAGTTGTTCTGTCCAGATTTTGGAATTATCACTATTTTTTTCCCAATATGATACTATTTTATTTATACTCTAGCCCCTGGATTTCCTTTAAATGGAAGTTGAGTCTAGCCTGAACAGGTTCAGACAAAATACAAAAACTTTATAAGTAATACTGTATACTGTATACTGTATACATCACTTTTATTCTAGCAGCATAATATCGTCTCCTTAATTTTTACAGTTTGAATAATGCTCCCCGTCCCACAAAATAAACCCACCCAAACCCACTGCTATTGAGTCAATTATGATTAATAGTGACCCTAGAGGATGAGTAGAGAGAGCTCCCCCTTTGAATTTCTGAGATTGTAAATCTCTGTGGGAGCTGACAACCTCATCTTTCTTCCACAGAGTGACTGGTGGATTCCATCCGCCAAACTTGATGTTAGCAGCCCGATGCGTAATACACTGTGCTACCAGGACCCCATGAGTAATGCAGTGACTGCTAGTGTTTATCGGTTAGAGAAGGCTGGTTTGCAATCAACCCAGAAACGTTATTTTGTCTTATTTTCTGAAACAACATTTTGCTTATTCGTTCTTTTTACTTTTAAAGTTTTCAAATGGTGGATTTTCCAATGCTATCATTTTGCCAGCATTTATTAGCTGGTATACTTTTACATACACTTTTGTAAAAAAGTTCTCAACAACTCAGAATAAACCACAGTCCAATATATTAATGCTTAATACTTCCTTTTCCTTTTAATTGCTCATTATCATAGTAGGAGGTATAATATTTCCAGTGGTAGATAATGAGTTATTTTTAAAAATACTTGTTTTCTAAATAAAAAAAACCATTCTTGCTTTGAATGCTGGTAGTCTTTATGCATTTGTAATCCTTTCAAATGTAATCTTTTGTTGGAGCATTTGAAGAACCTACCATTTTTATCTTATTCTTCAGAAATGATCCTGTCACTTAAAATTGATGGGAAAAACCCATTTTATTTCTCTTCTTTTCAACTAAAAGAATCATGGTAAGAGGATAGTATAGAGCACTTTGAGTGATCCTTCTAATTAGTCATTTTTGATAAAGAGAGTAAGATTTTTGTAGTGATTGGATTGATTTTATTAATGAAGACAAAGATATATTGAAATGGTCTAAAGATTGTGGGAATTAAGTTAAATTTGGAGGAACAGTCTGGTAGTTATGTCACTTAGAGCACTCTGTTAGAATAACCGATATGACTCATTTTGATATTCCATCTGTTATGTCAAAATTCCTTTGTGATAGTTTATATTTCATATGACTCTGCTTCTGACACTGGAAGCTGTAATTTCCTTGTCTGTAATTCAGTATTATAATAATACTTTATTAATCTCTGTCTTTCTAATGAATTAATTTTATATAAAAATTATTTCATAATATTGTTCTACATTTACAATTTGGTTTTCCTTTCACTACTTAAATATATGTTTTTATCATAAGACTGTTGGTAGGTGCTGTCCAATCAGTTCTGACTCTTGCAGCAACTCAGTGTATGTTGTGAAACTGCTCAATTTTGGACCATCCTTACTATGGTTATCTCTGAGGCTGTTACTGCAACCACCATGTTGATGCACCTTGTGGAGCATCTTCCTTTTCTCCGACTCTGTCTTATGTCCTTCTCAGTGACTGAACCCTCCTGATAACATTTTGAAAGTATGTGATACAAAGTCTCACCCTCTTCACATCTAAGGAACAATCTGACCATATTTCTTACAAGATGGATTTGTTTGTTCTCCTGGAAGTTCATAATATTGTGAATATTCTTTCCCAACCATGATTCAAATGCATCAGTTTTCCTTATTCACTGTCTGGCTTTCACACGTTTATGAGGCAATTGAAAATAGGATGGCCTGGGTCAGTTATACCTTAGTCCTCAATGGGACATCTTTGGTTTTGTGTTTTGTGTTTAAAGAGATCTTGTGCAGCAGATTTGCCCAAATGCAGTGAGTCTTTTTTTTTTTTTTATTAAAAAAATTTTTTTTTAACTATTGCTTCAATGGACATTGCTTGTGAATATAAGTAAAATGAACCCTTGAGACCTCCATCTTTTCTCCTTTGCCAGGATGTTTTCTATTGGTCTAGTAAGCTTTTTGTGTTCTTACATGGAGGTGTTCAAGAGAAGGCTGTAATCTCTGTCCTTTTCAGTAATCAAGGTTGTGTTACTCGCATAGTGTAATTGTTAACAAACTTTTCTCCAATCCATATGTTGTGTTTGTCTTCGTAGGGTTCACTTCTCAGTGAACTATTTGTTCAGCATACAGATTGAATAAGTAAGGTGAAAGAATACAACCCAGGCACGTTGTTGAAATGTAGGCCTACCATTTATTTTAGCCAGGTAGCTTCACCCCACTAATAGCTTAGAAAATGTCAGAGGAGATAAAAGAATGCATTTTCTATCTTTCTTTTTTTTTTAACAAAAGGTTATTTAATATTAAAATTTTTAATTATATGTTTTGATATAAATCATGTGTTAAATGCTCACATATAAACCATGATAATAGGATAATAATGATATAATAATTAAAAATAGAACTAAAATTCATAATTGTAGCAAACATGTCAGGAGCAAAGTGAATGGAATTAAAGTGTTCCCATACCCCTGTATTGTCTAGGAGAAGAGTTAAGGAGGTGATTAACTTTTGCTTTTTCAAAAGTTAAGTGCAAAATATGTCAATTAGGGAGAGAGAAGATATTGAAAATACAAGTTGATGCTGTTCTTGTTAGGTGCCACAGAGTCTGTTCTGATGAATGAAATGCTGCCCAGTCTTCAAAACTGTTCGTATGCTTTAGCCCAATGTAGCAGCCACTCTTTCAATCAACCCATCTCCTTGAAGGCCATCCTCTCCTTTGCTGACCCTCAACTTCGTCAAACATGATGTCTTTCTTCAGGAACTGGTCTCTCCTGACATCATAGCCAAAATATGTAGCATTTTTTATCTTTCTTTGTTTAAATAATTCTCTACAAATTTACCAAGCAATTAGAAAATGTGATGGTATAAAACTAGGCTGTTCTCCCACTATTTTTGCTTGCTCAAACTTTATTTATTTTTTTACCGTGACATGTAATTTAAGCTGGTTTTTTTTAATACAGTTCTTAGATCTGTGTTAACTACTTACCCACACCCCCTTAAATCTTCCTTTGTCCTTATAGTAGTTCCAAATTTATTTATATTAATATATTCAAACTCTGTAACTATGTTTAGTTAAAATCATTTTCACTGATTATATAGTGGTGTGAGCAATAATCATAGTATACTTGTTAGAATACTCAAGTTTACCTATAATGTAGGCCACGGCATGCAAGAATAGAAATACATTTCTTTTATGCTTTAAAAAAGGTTTTCTCATTTTTTTCCGGCAGCTGATACCAAAGGCTCAAGTAGGAAGCAAATGTTTTGAGAATGATGTTGGCAACAAATGTACAAATGTGCCTGACACATTGGATGCATGTATGGATTGTGATAAAAGTTGTACAAGTCCCCAATAAAATGATTTTTTTAAAGTTTTCTCTTTTTAAGAAGAGATAAATTTTTAGATGACAGAAAATGTGTCTGGATGATAAAATTTAAGACAAGACTTATTGGCCACCTGGAGGAAATGTTAAAAAATACTTTAAATTGTACACAACGGGTAACCACTGGATCATGAACTCAGGAGAAATGTTGGCTGCAAGGCTCACTGGTGTGCAGCTCTGTCTTGTACGGAGGCTATTCAGAAGAGAAATTAAGGGATGCTATTAAACAGAGTTGTGAAACTTATAGGTTAGCAGCTACATTCCGTTTGTTTTTCAATTTCTCATTCTTTTTCTTGTTTATTAGCTGTGACTCTGAGGCTAGAAGTAAAACAAATGTTTTAATGGCAGCTCTTGCGATTTGGTTAAAAATGCCAGAGAAACCCTCATGCTTATTATATCAGAGTAGATCTAATATAGGTGGTATAAGTTTCTTATTTTCGATTATTTAAGGACCCAATGAAAACATTTCTACTGAATACTTTTTAATTAAACAATTAAAACAAGTTAGTTTTCTGAGAGTTGCCTTTTTTGCATGTAAATAAGAGAAGTTTAATGGAGAAATCAGTAAATATCCATGCACTGAGTAGTATGTATGAGTTTACTACTCAGGAAAATTTATTTAGTTAATTCATTGAAACACTGAAGCATATTAAATTTCATACAACTGACAGAAATTAATTGCATATATTTAAAGTATAAAATTGGATGCATTTTGACAAAGTATACAACCATGAGACCATTGCCCCAATTACGACAATGTATCTTGAAATATCTAGAATATTCATCATCCCTAAAAAAGTCTTCCTGCGCTTTATAATTTTTCATTCTTGTCTGATCCCTAACCCTCTTACTCTGGCACTTCAAATCTGATTTCTATCAATACATATTTGTTTGCTTTTCTAGAATTGATATAAATGGTACCATACAATATGTACTTTGGGGGACATGTGTTGGCTTTGAGTCAATCCTCTGTGTTGCTTATGTCAAGACTTCTTTCCTTTTCATGGCCAAGTGGTACTCCATTGCATAGACATACCATTGTGTTGTTTGATGGGCATTCGGCAGTGTATGTTCACGTCAGAGGTTTTTTAGTGTATTTACTCAGTTGTGCAACCATCACCACAGTCATATTTTAGAATACATTTTCTAGTTATAGTTGATTGGCATTTGAATGATTGCTTTTTGAGGGCTATTATGGTTTTACATAGTTTTTTTTTTTTTTGGTTTTACATAGATTTATGTTA